TCCTCCTAGCGCACACACTAAAAAATCATGGATTTGTCGAATAAAAAAAGAAGAAAATTTTATCTTAAGGGATTCAAATTTATACATTTTTACGTATTTTTACGTGTAGATTACAAAAAAAATATAGCGAGAACGATTGGAGTTGTTTATCATAGCGTTTTCAAGGAAAAACTGATAATTTTCTATAAAAATCATGAATTTTTTTCAAAAAACGAAAAAAATTTTATCTAAAGGGCATCAAATTTATACATTTTTAGGTATTTTTACGTGTAGATTACAAGAAAAATATAGTGAGCATAATTGGAGTTGATAATCCTAGCGTTTTCAAGGAAAAATTGATAATTTTCGTTATATGTGACTATGTGTCTATCTATGTGTTTTTATGCTCACATTACAGGAAAAATTAAGCAAAATTGGAATTTTTTTTCAATTCAAATATTTTTTTAGTTTTGAAAAAACATAAATTTCGTCATAATTTTATTTTTACCTATTTGTTTTTTTTTACTAATAGCTAAAATTGCTAACAAAAATATTTTAAAAACGTCAACAAAATTTTTTTAAAAAAAAGGTATTGAATAATATAGTAGTGTCAACCAAATTTTAGTTAATATTTTTTTTCAGAGAAAAAAAAATAAATTTCTTAGTGAAAATATAGTGCGAAAAGTTGTGTGGCATTATCATAATTCATCAAGGGATCTTGCCGTGTATGATAGAAGGACAAAAAAAATATCACACACCCCTCCCTCATATATATATATATATACAAGAATCCACAGGATGGCAATAATTCAAGAGAATTTTCCCAAGAATTACAGGGAGCCTCTATATTTTCCGTCGTCGGTGACACGTGAAAAGCCTTCGAGGCACACGGCCTATGAATAATATTCTCTTTGTTGCAAGTTACGAGTGAATAATTTGCCAAATGCAAAGCCCAGGCACCCAGATGAAAATTGAAAATCTCGGAATGTTCACGCGCGTACCACCATCAAATAGAACTCTGATTAAGCTTCGCACGAGTGTTATTAGTATTATTTCAACGTGTACAATATTAGTTTACTCCGGAACGTGAAGCTTTTTCGATATTTACGAGAAATACGTCGTTACCAAGTTTTTTTTTTTTTTTTTAAATCTCGCGGATAAAAAAACACATAGACACACATACATATATATATAAAAAAAACCTTTCGCATATTTTCAACGACTTGTATACACAATTTTAATCCATCCAATATGGATTACAATATAGCATTTGATTAATTAGTATCTAGTAGAAAGTACCGAGTTTTTAAAACTTTGTAAAAATATTTTTACAGAGTAATTAATGACGCGATTAGAAGAGAAAGAAGGGGTTTCCCTTTATGAATAAAATATATACGAGAAAATTATTTTTAAAAAAATAAATCTCTAATAAATTTTAAATGAAAACATTGAAAAAAGATTTCTTGAAAATAAAGAAGACTTCAGCGAATTTCTTTTCCTCATTGATTGAGTATAAGATTGACGAGAAAGCTCCTTTACTTTTCTCTTCGTTGGAGAGAAAAAAAATCCTATCCTTCATCACTTTTGTGCTTTGCTTTGAACCCGAATAAAAAAAACAAACTTTGAAAACAATAATAGTTTCCAATTTATATTAATTTACGTAATTAATTGGATATCGTCAGTGATTCATCAAAAGGAATAAAAAAAATTTCCCTCTAAAAGCTCAAAAAAAAAAAAAAAAAAAAAAAAAAAAAATATTGAACAAAAGAGAAAAGAAAAAAGTGAAATATGCGTAATTATTTGAAAACTTTTCCGAAAAGGATAAAAAGTTCTTTGAAAAATGTACCCATCATATATAAAATCCCTTTTGTAGTTGAAAAATATTCAATGCACATGGAAAAACTTTACGTTGAAAGAATTACGGAAATAGGTTGTAAAGTACGAATAATGCCGTGAATGTATTATATATGTACTCTGTTTCAATAAAAGTAAAATATTTCGGTATAATAATAATATTTCAGTTGAAAATTGTTCTAATTATTTAGGAAAGCAACTGATTTCATTTTTCAATTTATTGCAAAATTAAAAGGAAATATTTAAATAATATGATCTCATTTTTCAACGTGTATTATGAAATTAAAGTGAAATATTCAAACGGTAAAACTATTATATTCCCTTTAATAATATTATTCTTTTATTATTTAATTTAAATTATTGAGAAAAAAAATCCCAAAAAAATTTTAAATGATAATATAAAATCCTTCTTTTAAAATTATCCAGTCAATGAAAATTGGTTTTTAACTTTCTTTACACAAAGAATAATTGATTTAATATATAGACATAGCTAAGACGTTACTTTGCCTCTACAGCATAATGAATTTATTTACATAGAATGAATATTTTTAAAAAAATGACTCTCACGTTATAAAAAAAACAACATATTTTAAATTTAAATTATAGACACAAGTGCAAAGAATATTTTAAACTTGCATTAATTTATATTTAATTATATTTGAAATAACTAATTATTATTATTATTTTAATTAATATTATTATTATTTAAGTAATAATATTAGGAAAATTAAAATTTTTACAACTCTTTATTTTCATTATGGAAAATGAAATGTGAATTTTTATAACTAATAAATGACGTATATTTTTAAAAATAGTTATAATTATTCAAAACGATTAATATTTAAAAGAATTTTCTTGATTTATCTCTACAGCAAATTTAATTAAGTTTTTTTAATTCTTATTCAATTTTTAATACTTTAATTTAAAATAAATATAATGAACAATATATTTTTTTGAATAATACCTTTGTGATAAAAGTATCAACTGAGATAAAATTATTATAAATATTATGAAAATAATTATAATATTACAGAGATTTTAATTAACAAATAAAACATAAAATTTTTCAATTCTATCAAATTTTTTTTATATGACTGTGAATCATATTAATTAAAATGCTGATTTCACGGATTTATTTTCTTTTGTTTTTTTTAATGTTTTTAAACAGCACACAATACGCATTGGAGATTGCTTACTGATTAAACTCACTTGAGATTCTGCAGTACAAAAATAAAAAATATATATATATATATTTATCGTGGCTTTTATATAAATAAAAATCTTTTAAATTACCTCCAGTAGTCTATGTTAAAAAATATTAATTATATTACATTTTTTAATTAAATTGTAAAATTGATATAAAAAATTAACTTATTTTAACTAAGTATCCATGTTAATTAAATTTACTTTCCTGTCGATTAAATAATCTAAGAAATTTAAATATTCATAATATCATAAAAACTTAATTTTTAAATAAAGTATGAATATTTTTTTTGTTTAAATTATTTGTGACCCAAAACATTAAATTTTTTTAATTTTTCGAATATTAATTCAAATTTTTAAAATCAGTTGAAAAATAGTAAAACACATTTGAATATTTTAAAAAACACGATAAATAATCTAAATTTCAATTTGAAAGTTTTCCATTTTTACAGAAATTAAAGAAGGTCCTTTAAAATCAAAAATTAATTTGTTCTTTGAATTCCCTGGATTACTAATTTATTGAAAGGTTATGTCTACGCTGGGAAAATGGATTTTTTAAAAATTAATTCTATTATTTTTAATTCAAACTTATTTTCTATCAAATTCTCTTTAATAAATTACAATACTTTTTTTAAACCTAATTATTTTAAATATTGGTAATTGGACTCCTCAAATTAGGTCACTTTTTGTAATTACGATATCATGCAATGAATTAATAGTTCTCATAATTTCACGTATAATATTTATTGCATTTATTCGACCAAAGAACATCATTAAAAAATTATCATTCCAATTTCTCAAATATCTTAAATAATTTAATTGAAAAACTAAAATTATTGTTAAAATTTAATATTATTGCAGTTGATACTTTTATCTTCTTTTATTCATAGAATATTGTATATATCTTCACTAAAGATGTTTATACATGAAAATCAAACTGTGTCATTGAGATTTAAATGACAATAATTTTATTAATATTATAGGTTAATAACCCAGACAATTTAAATTATTATTTCAAAGAAACGATATATTTCAATGATTTGTGTTCAAAACATTAATTTTTAAAAAATTTTAATTTAATTTTAATTTATTTTATTTTAATCTATCAAGATTTATGATTAATCTTTGAAAGTAAATGTATTCAAATTATCCGATTAGGGGAAATTGTTATATATTTCAATTTATTGAAATCTGATTGATCTACAATTGTAGATATATTGAAGTTATCAGAATAAAAAAACCATTTTATATTCTTAAAATCTATTAATAAATTATGAATAATTAATCTATTTAAATCATTTTACTAATAGTAAAAAATCTGATTGTCTCATTTAAACTTTGGTTGAGACAACTAAAATTAAAAAACAGAATTTTTGATCACTGAAAAAAATTCCTAACCCCCGTATACCAAGAATTGACTAATTTGCCTGGTTACGAGAGGAACTCACTAGGCAATCTTGGTCAAAAGTTGATTTCGACAATTAGTCGGAATGACTAGGGAAGCTTATCAGAATAACCAGGTATCTTAGTTACATTGGCTAGAATCACTTTGACTAATTAAACTTTAGCAAAATTAACTATAGATACATGCGATATTAACCAAACACCTTAGTTAATATAACTAGGAAACAAGGGGTCAATTCTACTAAATCGACTTTGACAATATTAACTATAAGCTACATAACTGAATTGACTAGGATGCTTGGTTACGCTGACTAAATTTAAAGTTACTATGGTTAATAGTCATTAATGCTAAGCAAATTTTTTTCAGTGTTGTCTTGACTAGTTTGGTTAAGTTTTATTGACACAACAGAAAAATTTTGGTTGCCCTAAGACCAACCAAACATTTTGTTGTCAAAACCAAACCCCTTTTTCAATTGTACTTATAATTCTATAATTGCTTAATAATACCGTTAGATTTATAAAATAAATTATATAATAAAAAAAAAATGTTAAAAACTCACCTGTCCTTGAAATTGAAATCCATGTTTCTCAGCAATGGCAGCGGCGACTTTATCTCCAGCAGGCACATGAACAACAAAATCCTTGGTGTAAATTGGTTTGGGTCTAGGGCGTGAGGCTGGTTCTGGATCCGCTGAGACAACCAACAAAATCCCAAGCCAGAGTAAAGACACTCTGGGGTTCATCATACCTTGAAGAGACGGTGACTCTTGGAACCTCTCAAGAATCTTCACCGATCGCTTTTCACTTCACTAACGATCGTGACAATGACACTAATTGGCTTTGAATTTCTCCAAGATGATCGCTTCAGGGCAAATATCGTCGTTCTCGCCTTAATTCTTCTTTCGTATTCAATATCGATATTTCAAGTTTCAACTTATCCACATGACTTTGCCGAGTTATCATGAACTCGCGTCTTTATTTCGAGTAAAAACTCTGATTGCTCAAGACGTGTGTGTATATGTATTACACATATATATATATATATAAAAGCGAGGCGAGAAACTTGATGCGTTCCACTTGAAACAACTTTTTGGTCGTATCGTACGTCGAAATTTTTGGTCGATGCTACTGCTACTACTTTCTGACTTGGGAGGGGAGGATTTAAGCGTCTTATCTGAAAGAAAAGCAGAGAGAAAAAGAAATATATAGTGAGTTTTCTACTTTCTTTGGGAAATCGAAAGATCTTCGATTGTCTTTTCTGGTTAAAGAATGAGGTTGGAGAATAAGAAGTAGGAAAGGGTTAAGCGAAACTCAATCCGAGGATATCAAGAGAGTTAGGTTAGGGTATTGGGTAGAAGGGGAGCGTCTAGGCAAGCGGTGCCGGTGTTACTCGTAAACGCGTTAAAATTTCAGCCGCTTCCGCTTCCAGTGAGAACTCGAATTGGAGCTTCTGGTGAATGCGGAAGGACGTGCGAAGAACTGGAGAAACTCGTAATCTAATTTTGCCTTTCTGGTGTGCGCGAGCTGATTCGGAATAAAGCGGAAACACGCGATAGTTTCGCAAAACAAGAGAGCGACTTTCCGACGCCTTCGGCAATATCGAAACTTTTATACACACAATCATTGTGTGTTCAAGTCAAATTGACAAAGAATGAGACCTTTCAAATTTTATATTCAAAAAGAACTGTTTCTTACACAAAAAAACATGTTTTAAAAAAAAGTTTCTTAAAATTAAATAAATAATTTATAAAAATTTTAAATTCATCGATATCCCTTCTACGCTGCATTAAACAAGCGATTTAATTCTCCATCCATTTCCTCCACACACAAATATACTATAAATACAAAACGATTGGAATATATTAAAAAATTATTATCCGCAACATCCTGTCAGTCAATCCAAGATAAAAAAAATGAGAATAAATAAAACATAAAATCACTATATTTAGATTAGATTCTTAAAAAAAATAATCTCGGAGAGAACATAAATTTAGGTTTCAAATATTAAATACACCTTTTAGGATAATTCTAGAGAGATTGTTGCAGGCTCGCTCTTTTAAAGCCGGCGTGTACTCGTTTCTTGTGATGAATACTACATATATGTGCATTTGCAAAAAAAAAAGTCCTTTGAACCTGGCTGAAATTCGAAAGCTAAAGTTTCATTCCACAAAATGTTAATTCCCAAGAGCACAAATATGTCGAGCTTTATGCAAATTATCAAAACCTTTTCCCATCATTTTCAACGACAGATTCAAATCGAGATAAAAAATTAGATAATCTTAAATTATTGTCACATTCAATGTGTACCATCTGGGGGAATGATGAAAAGAGAATAAATTCACAAAGTAAATTAAATTATTCAGATGCATTTTCATTTAATATCGACCAATATTCACTATTTTTTTTTATATAAAATGAAGTGTATACAATAAAACTGTTTTAATAATAATGAAAAAATAATTGTTTCATGTTTCATAAAATAATATTTCGTTATATTTAAAAAAAAAATTTAATATTATTTACTTTTTTTTCATGTATACTCATTTGAATTTTTATTTATTAGAAAATTGCGTGATAATTAAAATTGTTTTTGCCATTCGAGACTTTTAATTAATTCTACTATATATCTATTTGTTCCACTTTATATATATGTACCAGTGAGAGAATAAGGGAATGAGGGAGGAGAATGCCTTTATATTGAAATTGGAGTAAATCAATACAATATTTTCTATTGAAGAAAAAAATGTACGCAATTCCAATTACCTACATACTTTAGTTCTACACGTAATCGTTTTAATGAGATGTGAAACGAAAGAAATTATGCAATTTGAAACAAACCCACCTTCGACATTCAACTGACTGTGTTATGCGTTATTCTAACAACCACAGAGAAAAATAATATTTTCCACTGGCGAACAAGAATAAAAGAAATGAGATCAAAGGTTAAATTATCAGAACAAAATTAAGAGAAAATCCTCACCAAAAGAAATTGCTTGTGAATTGCGGTTTTTATGTATAAAAAAAAATCTCTATTTTTAATTTGTGAAATATTTAAAAAATTATTATACTATACATAGATAAATGAAGGACTCGCATAAATGCAGTTGAAAAAATAATAATCTGCGTGTAAAAAATTCTTATAAGTTACAAAGAAGGTCTTCTATTTAAATTCACTTTAATTATTTAACAAGTATGAATTAATTAGGCAAATGAGGAACATAATTAGACTGGTAGAACCAGAGCAAGATTCATGTTTTAAAAATGAGTCGTACATTAGAAATGCTAATTAATTAAACGTTGGGATTTAAATGCGGATTGAGGGACCGTTGCTTCATCTCAATCTTTTATGATTGCAAAATTTTTTTTTTTTCCAACTGACCATCCATCGAAAAGGTCAATTATTAATAAAAAAATATTTTTTAACCAAAAAAAACAATGTAGAGAATGAAACAATTTCCATTTAATAAATATTTGAACCTTGAGATTAATTTTCATTCATTTCTATTGGGAATAAATATATATTGGTGTCTATGTTTATACATATAGAAATAAATAAAATGCTTCGTATGAATAATCACTGTCATTTCAAAGTGGATATTATTACAAGGACACGAAAGAACATTCATCATTTAATATCGCGTGACATAAAAACATTGACAATGTCAATACAAGTTTTATAAAGAATAAAAATCATTGAAAGAAGCAACGAGGGCATTGGAACATTTGTCTTCGGAAGCAGAAAGTGACCGATCGTCTACAAATATATATATATATATCTAAGGAACAAGTAAATGGCAAAGGGTCGGTTCCACTTTGCCATTCGGTCTATATGAGCTTCAATATTGATAGCATGTGTGCCTAGGAAATTCCTATCATCAAAACTGAAGAAAGATGCTTCTAACAAAATAGAATAAATCGCTTATGGAAATCAGTGTTTCCCTTGAATATTTCACAAAAAAAAAATTGCCACGAAATCTTTTCTGAAAAATTGATTTTGTCACGCACGAGAAAAATAGTAACATCATATAAAAATCACTGGTTTTCTAAGGTCAATATTTATATAGTCAAATACAGAATATTCGAACTAATTTTCAAAATTTTAAATCAAAATCCCTAATATGTGTTGGCTATATTTTAAAAATAATGAAAAAAACAACTGCTTCATAATAAAAACAACACGAGTAATGAGAGAAAAATAAACAGCGGTAATATGGCCCTCTGTAGTTGACATTTACGTTACAAACGTTGTCAAGATAAATTAAACAGGTTCAAGCGAACACATTGGCGCAATCTCTTAATTTACCACACCACGCAAACGACAATCCGGTATCCGGATTAATATCCGTCTAACTTTAAATGCGTATTTAATAATATTCACTTGTGTATGTACCAATAAACTCAGTGACCACTTCTACATATATTGTGTATAAGTAAAAATTGCAAAAAAAAAAAAAAAATTTTGAACGACGAATAAGAGATTGGAACGAAGTGAATGGGCGACTCGTCGATGCAAAACGGGCCGTTTCGCCAACGACCGAGTTTCTCGGATCCCAGACACTTTATGAAAACTGTCGATCTCCATTTAAAGCGCACTTTAGCCAAAAGCTCAGTTGCATTTCAATAAATGCCTAAACTTTTATTTCACATGCAAAACTCAAGAAGCAATAGTTCTTTCACAGAACTTTCACATATATTCCAAAAATTGACAAATAAAAAAAAAATATAAGAAATATTAATTAAAAATCTATACAAAAATGAAGAATTTATAATTGAAAATAATTTTTTAAATAAAATACTATATTTATATTTCAAATTTTAATATAAATATTCAAGAGCTGTATAAAAATTTAATAATATCGAATAAAATTTCACTCGAAATATGCGGATCCTTTGGCTAAATTTAACATTAATATATATATAAACTTTCAAACCAATAAAATTTACCCTGAAACCAACAAAAAGTCAGTATTTATTCAGTTTATTTTATTCATTCTCAATCAGATTTTTCCAATCAAATGAAAAGTCTCTGTTTAGTATACGTAAAATATCATTAAAAGTTCAGTGATCCTTTTAATTAATCGAACTAGTCAAACGTCATTGATTCTCTTCATGAAATTGTACTGCTTATCAAACAAATTTCCATTAATGAAATTGCGTGTGAATTCAAGCAATTTCTCCTTCCCTCTATCTATTTTGGTATTTAATATATATAAATAAAGCATTCTCTATTTCAAATTTCATTCCAATCATTAAAAATAAAGAATTTTTCATATAAACGCGAAATTAAATTAATATTGTATTATAAAAGATTTGGAAAATTTTTTTGTCTAATTTAAAAATAGCGATTCTCATATTGAGTTTTTACAAAGGCATATTATTGCATTTCAAATATACAATATGTACAATAGTCATATATATATATAGAACATGCGCTTACTTTTAAAAAATGTTTTAATAGAAATATGAAGTTATATAAAAAGACCTCGTCGGGAGAGTTTATATTGAAAAAAACTTTTATTGACGGAATTCTTTGCCTCTTTGAGGATCTCAAAAGACTCAAAATGGAAGTCAGTCTGTGAAATGAGACTTTTTTATTGCAACTAAAGAAAAGTGCAATTACGCATCGTACTTATAGTTACGACCATGACGCTAAATTAAGACAGAAATTATAATGTTGGAAGTGACAAACCATGGGAGGAAGAATGGTTCAATGAACTCAAACAGCAGAAAGAAAACATATATATATACATATATATATACAAATATATAAATAGAAATCAACGGAAGTTAGATATTTCAGAAAAAAAATGCGAAACTCATCTCTAAATCGAAATTGTCATTATAAATATAAAACTAGACTTCTTTATACAAATTCCTTGCAAAAAATAGTTATATTCTAATTCGTGGAAATTTTAAAAATTGGCAAATTTTATAAAGTTGAATAAAAATTTTCGTAAAATATATATTTATCAGGATTAAGATCCAAATATTTTCGAAAAAGAAGTTAAACAATTGTTTCCCCTTGAGTGTTCACGACTTCAACTACATTAATTTTCAAAATTGAAAAATGGCTAACACGTAAAGAATGCACTACTCCATGTTGTGTCATAAACTCAGAAAATTCTTTACCAAGTTTTAAAGAACGATAAAATTGTATATTTATAGTGAAGAAAATATAGAATTTATTTTGTAAATTTACAACTTCATTTAATATTAACTTCTCTATTTAATAATGCTTATTAATTTAATAAATTCTTTTGTATTATACAAGAAAAAATTAATTGCCATTAAATTATTAACAAAATTTCTTTATTATATGTTAAAGACTTTAACTACTTGACTTTTTGTTCAAGTTTCTAACTTTTTTTTTTATTTGTTTAAGTCTTTAACTTCTTTATTTGTTGAAATTAAACAGCAGTAACCCTCTAAGGAAGAAGTTTATACATAGAATTACATAATTTCTGTTCATGGCTAAGAATATAAATGAAAATTTAATTTGTATACGTGAAACATCTTATGTTTCTTCTTTTGCACTTTAGAAAAGACATTTGTAGGTAATATTCTACCACCAGGATAATTAACCCCAAACAAACATTTCCCACTTTAATTATATGCTTCTTTATAAATTAAACAATTACAAACAATGTTCTAAAACAACAAAAATTCTATTTGTTCATTTTTAAATTTATAAGTATTTTAGAAATAATATTAATTTAAAAATAAAATTCATTTAGAAGCTACAAATTACAAATAATAATATTTACATATAATCTTTCGATTTTTGTGTATACATACTGCGACATAACGCTAAAAATTCGTTCTTCAATTGTTTGAAAGTAATTTATCGGCAAGTTACGTATTTTATGACCCAGATTAAGTTGAATGTATATATATATATATATATACATTCAGTGTCACCTTGCTCTTGCTGCAATTCTTTTTTAAAAGAAACTAAAGACTAGAATATTATCGACCAACAACAATCCTTACATGGATTGAATTCGATTAAATGTTTAAATTTTAGAAGTTAGTTAAGAGATTTTAATCCCTAGGATTGGAAATATTAATGAACGAGAATTAACAATTTTAGTTTCGGTATGATTTCACAACCAAGTAAAATTTATATCCAAATAATATGTACGGTATATGACTTAATTTCTCAATCATTAGCAAATAATTAATGAAACTATAAGGTACATGATAAACACAAATTATCTCGGATAGTACCATAATTTAACCATTAATTTCTGTTGGTCATTAGTTTGTTATTATTTTATTAAAACCTTATTGAAACCTGCCAAAATCTTCTAACCAAAATTTAGTATTAATTTTTTATCCAAAATTAAATAGTGAAAGTAGATCAAATTTTAGTTCCTCTTACAAAGAGAAACAATATGACAATTTAACCTCCAAATCCTGTTCATGTTCCAAAATAATAAATATTATAAAAGGTCTTCCCGCTTTCGTTTATCAACATAAACACCGTTACAAAATTTCAATGCCATTTTGACAAAACATAACTCAAAATCACGGGTAAGAGCCAAAAAAAGATTCTCTTATTTTAAGAAAAGAATATTATGATATTAAAAAAAAACGGATTTCAGACAAAATTTTTTTCCAGTTTTCGTTAAGAGTGAGAAGGTGAAAGTCGCTGATCGCGAGGTTTGTTGGACCGGTCGCGAGTCAGCTGACAGTCTAGAGATGTGTGTGGGTGTGCATGTGTAACGTTTATTCAGTCAAGTTTCGCTCAACCATTCTATATAGTGTTTCCTTCCGAAAAACACGAATCTCATGATTCACAGCACGCAACTCCCTTTTGAAAAGGATCCCAGCTGCCTTTTAACAAACTTTTGCTTAAATTTACCAAAAAAAGGAAGAAAAAAATCTCTCCAAAAAATTATAACCACATGAACAACTTTAAATATTACAACTATTTATATTTCCATAAACAATAAATCAACAACTTTTAAAAATATTCACAAAAATTTACAAATTCACAATTGAAAACAAAAAAAAAACCCATTGGAACATAACCTTATGAATATGACTAGTACAGATTTGATCAATATATATATTTACGGAGCAGAAACTATACGAGTAGAGAAAACCACAATGAGGCGGGTTTGGCCAGCGAGAATGGTTTTGCGGTCAACAGTATAAATGTCAATGTAAATAAATAAAAAAAAAAAGGGGGAAATAGTGTAACGCATTTATAAAGTATTATGAAATTTTTCCACTATAAAAACATACCATATAGAAGAGTAAATGCGGCAGGTCAGTTGTTCAAAAATTTCTACACAATATTTTACAAACAAAAATAAACGAGCACAAAAATTTATCTTAATTTGGCACAAGGAACAAAAAAAAATTTTTTTACAATAAAAATAAAGCTATCTTTTGGCAGTTTTCCACATTGTAAATAAATTACACGCACGAAATTTGAAAAAAAAATTTTTTCTTTCAAAATAGCATTAATTATTATCAAACACGTTCACACATGTGTTCACGATAGCACCCGCGTCCATTTAAATCACCTATACGAATTGTCAAAAAAAAAAAACAGTACCAAATTTTTATTGGTTATTTTTTTTTATTATTAAAAAAAAATTTCCCAAAAACCTCCGAACTACTACAGCCAAAGTGTAGCGCGACACTGACTCTCGAACGGCGTAACAAGGCGATAAACAAACTGAACTATCACCCTACCTACTGACGTTGCATTCACATTGCGCGTGCGCTCTCTTTCCCTTCCGTCTTTATTCAATTATCCTGGCCTAGGTTATTGTAAATTAATTTAGGATCATTTTGACTATATACTTTATTGACAATAATAGCCAAGAAAAAAGAAGAAAATAAATTAATTTTTCAAGGATAATTGCAAAGTATTTAGATATTAATGGACATATAATTGACTCAATGATTGACACCTGTTACACATAACCTTAAAATATAACTGAACTTTGGATGATCTAGATTTCAGTCTAAATAATTTTGCAAATCGGAAAAGTTATTTTTGCGAACATTTTTGCTGTTCGGAAGGAAAATGATTTTTGCAGTTCAGAAAAGACATTTTTAGAACAAATTCGAGTTGAACTATCGCAAATTTACACGGAGAAAAATGGAAAAACGAATAAAGTAACTTTTACTACTTTAAAAATAAAACTGGAACTGTTGGCAGCTTCTGGCAATTTTTAATCTGAAAATAGTAAATTTTACTATTTTCGGAGTAAATTTTACTATATTTCTGGAGTAAAAATTGACAGAAATGCACAAAAACTGCGGACAGTTTCAGTTTTACTTTAAAAGTAGTAAAAGTTACTTTATTCGTTTTTCCATTTTTCTCCGTGTATATATGCAATTCTATCTATACGTTCATTTCACATTGTTTTCAACAAATTCATTTCTCAACCAAATCATTCTCATCTAATATTAGGTCTCAGTTTCTTTACCTTATAACCTATCTACTTTCCCGTTCTCTCCAATCTCGTTATCTTTTTTCCCCTATATACTCCACACTTGCCCCATCATTCTTTCCCTTTTTCTATATACTTACATTCAACTATTATCTCCCATTATTTTTAAACCCATATCCCAAATAGCGAAACTTATTTCTTCTGCCCTTATTCTCTTACATTCATCCTTTACACCTCTTTCTTCATCCCTCTTTTATTTAAAAAAAAACCTTATCATTTTTGTTTTTTCTACATTCGATCACAAATTCTTTTCACCCCTCAAAGTTTTTCATTTAGAAATCTCAATTCCCTCTTTCATCCTCACAACCGCACACCTTTTCCTTTACTAAAGTTTTCATTTCCTCCTCTAAATTTGCTATCAACAAGTTAAATAAAATTCAACTCAGGTGTCGTATAAAATCAAACATCATCAGCAGCAATGATATCGTCCATCTCAATCTGATGAAAAGAATTCTACAAGGAAGAAAAATAGAAAAACGAATAAAGTAACTTTTACTATATAACTTTAAAAGTAAAAAAACCTAAACTGTCCGGAGTTTCTACGCATTTCTGGTAAGTTTTACTCCGAAAATAGTAAAATTTACTATATTTGGAATAATTTTTACTATTTCAAGAGTAAATTTTACTATTTTTGGATTAAAAATTACTAGAAATACGCAGAAACTCCGAACAGTTCAGGTTTTACTTTTAAAGTATAGTAAAAGCTTTATTTGCCTCTTAAAGCCTCTAAAGTTCAAAATATTCCTTATTTTTCCAGCTTTAATATCCATAAAGAAAATTGGTGCACTCTGTGTTAACTTACTCAGTATTTTTGAAATTGTTTCTCGTTATTTATTGAAGTAAAAAAATAATTTTTTCAAGACAAATTAATATATTATTACACTGAAAAAAAAATTCTGGTTAGGCTATATATTTAACATTACTTTCTAGTTATGTTAACCAGAATTCTAGTTAAATTAACTAGAATTCTCGTTAAAATAACCAGAATTCTGGTTAACCTAACCAGAATCAAAATGTTAAATATACCCTAACCAGAATTCTGGTTATTCTAACTAGAATTTTTTTTCAGTGTAAAATAATAAAACTTGATTTAAACGTAAGCAAGAAAAATCTCGGTTTTACGTAAAATTCCCGGCTAATTCCCGGTTTTTTCCGGTCAATTTAAATTCCCGGCTATATTTCCCGATTAGTAACTACATATACATAGCAATAACTTTGTATTTGTACTGTCATGTTTCCCGACTAATAGAGAAATAATTTTCCCATTTATATAATTATTACAAAACAAATAATAATAAAAAAATCTATATACTTAATTTTAATAATGATGTAATAATGAGAGGTAATAAAAATCTAATCATGACAAGAACTGTAATTATTTTCTCAATATGAAATTATAAATTCACTCAATATGTATATATATCTATATTAGAAATATAGAGAATTTTGTTTATAATATATGTTGATAGAAGAAAGAAGATATGAATATTATATTTTAATAGAAATATAAATATTTTCCCGTATAGAGCAAATATAAAACTTGCGAAAGACTTGAGAGATTTTTATTGCACGCTTTTAATAACTGGGCACGAATCATACTGCAGTCGATCCTGATTTGCCCTTCTCTTTCACCCTTTCGCCAACTTATTTTCTATCTCATTTTCACAGTCTCGTGTACTCAATTTTCTTTCTTATTTGCACCAATTTCCTAACTGTAATAACTACCTTGCCTTTCATACAATTACAATAAATCCTGTCACTCTTAAAACACTCGTGTTATAAAACTAAATTACTATTAAAGACAACTTGAATCACGATTATTGACACATACATATATATATATATATATATATATATACACAAGATTCCAATTTTTGTCGCACGATTTAAAACAGTCTCGTGTGTTATGAAAATAGATAAAAAAAAAAACATTCTATATCGAATTTTAATTTAATCAAATTTAAGTTTAATAAAATTGTTCATTTAACTCAATTTCTCGTCTCGCTATAAAAAAATGAAATAAAAAATATTCTAATTTATAAATAAAATTTCACTTGATCGAATTTTCATTTAAACAATTTTAAGTTTAAAAATGATCATTTAGGTAAATTTTTATTTAACTGAATTTAATTAAATTTTCATTTAGTTAAATTTTTAAACTTAATTCATATTTAAAGAAATTTTTTTCTACAAGAGAGTCTTTTTAATTTAATATTTGGCCGAATTTTTATTTAACCGCGAATTTGAATTTGATCAAATTTTTATTCAATCGAATTTTCTCCTTACAAAATTTACACCCAGAGAAATGATTTATTTAAATCAAATAAAATATATTTGAATTAAATAAACGTATATTTGTCTCAGAGCCTACTAACTTATTTATTTTTGGCGTAAATAAAAATTTTATTTGTCAGAAATAAATTTTTCTTTTGCTCAAATAAATTTTTTATTTCAATGAAATAAAATACATTTGCAACAAATAAGTGAGTTTAGTAGGCTCGGAGACAATAATATACCATTTCTCTGAGTGTAGGCAAAAATAAAAATTTGTCAAAACGCAATTTTGGTGAAAATGACAATTTGGTTAAATGCAAATTCGGTTAAACTAAACAATTTAATTAAATGAAAATTCAGTAAAAGAAAATTTAAATTAATAAAAATTCTTTTGCATTCTAAAATATATATGTGCACTGAAAAAAAAATTTATTTGATTCAAATAATTATTTCACTATTATCAAATAAATATTTACTTAAACCAAATAATTTTTATTTGAATTAAATAAATTTTATCTGAACCAATAATTTCTATATTTGAAACAAATATACAATTTAATTGACTCATATAATAATTATTTTATAGAAATAAATATTTATTTGATAATAGTCAAGTAATCGCGAGTATTTGAATTAAATAATTTTTTTTTCAGTGTGAGTTCTGTAAGTTTTGTTAAATTTATTTTTATTTTCAATATTTAATGATAAAAACCACTTTTGTTAAGTGCATTCTTTTTATTTGCGATATGAAAATTGTATTTAAATGAAAAATATTTACTGCATTATTTATTTTATATTTTGTTTTATAGTTTTCAAAAGTACAATGAAAAAAAAATTTATTTGATTCCAATACTCCGTTAATTGACTAAATAAATAATTATTATAAATAATTATTCCTTAAATAAATATTTACTTGAATCAAATAATTTTTGAAACGAAATAATTGAATTAAATAAATTGAATTTGAATCAGCAATTTCTGTATTTGAAACAAATACAATCTCACAATAATAATTATTTAATACAAATAAGTATTTATTTGATAATAGTCAAGTAATTGATTATTTGAATCAAATAATTTTTTTTCTAGATGTATTTTTTTTTAATTTTCTAATAAAAAAAAAATGTGAAATAATTAACAAATTGAATAATTTATAACATGTAGGCCTGATACTTGTATATGTATATATGTTTATGTGTATGTATATAGGTATATAGAAAGTGATAACACTCCTCAGTGAGTTCATCGAAAGGATTTCAAGGGCGCTAACTGTTTCTCGCTTCCAAACCTGTCCTCTCATTATATTATACAATAATATGAAGCAGTTATAGTACGGTAACTACTGGGAGAATAATATTTACATTGAGAATGGTAGCAGAAAATCATTAAACTGTCAGTTAATTTTTTTCCTTTTTTTTTTCTTTCTTTTAGTGAATCTATTTTACAAATTGTATTTGCAGGGTGGCAGAAGGCAAATAATGAAATTCAGTTTAATGATATCCTCAATTTTTTTTTTTTGTAAATTATGTAAATCTCAATTTTTAAAATTTTTGATTTTTTTTTATTAATCTGGTGCATGCTTAAACATAATTTTAAAATAAATAAATATATATAACTTTACTCACCGGAATTCGGAAGCTTTATTGGTGTTTAAGTAGTACAAACTTGAACAGGTTAGCTGAGTTGATAAGATGATGTATATCCATGTAAGTACCGCCTTCTGAAAAAGTGATAATATTTGTTATGTGCTTAAGAAAAATACAACATACATTAAAATTTATCTATAACTCCTCCCATTTTTAATAGTTTAATGGAGTATATAACTTCAAAGATATATTATAGCTAAGTATATAAATATAATATATTTTTTAAAAAAATTATTGTTTATTATAATTTAATATTATAATCAAAAATAAATAAC